CCTCGGGTTACATACTCTTCAGGTTACATACGCTTCAGGTTACAGACTCCGCTAACCCAGAAATAGTACTTCAGGTTAAGAACTTTGCTTCAGGATGAGAACAGAAATCGTGCTCCGGCAGCGCGGCAGCAGCGGGAGGCCCCATTAGCTAAAGTGGTGCTTCAGGTTAAGAACAGTTTCAGGTTAAGAACGGACCTCCGGAACGAATTAAGTACTTAACCCGAGGTACCACTGTAACTAACTTTGTGGGTCTCTAAGGTGCTACTGGAAGGAATTTTTCCATTTTGTTTCAGCAGGGGGAATTGTACCAGATAAGTTCCGTTCAGCTCGAATTTCCATTCACTCTGGGGCGAATGGATTGATAACCATAAGAACACAAAAGACCTACCGGTACATTGACTCCCAGTACATTTCCAAGCAAAATTCAAAGTGTTGGTGCTGACCTTTAAAGCCCTAAATGGCCTCAGTCCAGTATACCTGAAAGATTGTCTCCACCCCTATTGTTCTGCCTGGACACTGAGGTCCAGCTCCAAGGGCCTTCTGGCGGTTCCCTCACTGCGAGAAGCCAAGTTACAGGGAACCAGGCAGAGGGCTTTCTCAGTAGTGGCGCCCGCCCTGTGGAACGCCTTCCCGCCAGATATCAAAGAGAACAACAAGTACCAGACTTTTAGAAGACATCTGAAGGCAGCTCTGTTTAGAGAAGCTTTTAATGTTTGATGCATTACTGTATTTTAATGTTTTGTTGGAAGCCACCCAGAGTGGCTGGGGAAGCCCAGCCAGATGGGCAGGGTATAATTATAATTATTATTATTATTATTAAAGAAGCCTGCTGGATGAGGCCCAGAGGTGCCAGCTTGTGCGGGCGATTGGGGTGACATTGTGTGTGACATTGCTTGTGTGATGTCAGGATGTTGAATGTGGCAGCCGTGCAGCTTCAATGGCCAGCAACGTCCTCTGGCACTGCCACAAACAGGAGGCTGCTTTGACCATCCTTCTCTTCTGCAGCAGAAGGAGGAGGAGGAGAAGAAGCTGGCCGCTGGAGCTGTGCCACCCTTGGCCTCCACACTTCTTCAACGTTGGGGTGTGGGTGGCGGTTCCAAAAGGGCTCCATCCCCAGGAGCTGGCGCCCACGATCAGGCCAGTGGCTCATCTAGTCCACCATCCTGTTCTAAAAATGGCCAATCAGATTCCTGTGAGAAGCAAGTAAGTAAGCAGGGCCTGAGTCCAACAGCACTTTTCCCACTTCCCAGCACCTGTTGTTGAGAGGCACAGTGCTGAGCCTTTTGTACAGTAGGCTGGTGTTATAGAAAAAACATGCTCCTTTCCCCTTATGGGATATCCAAGAGCCTGTATAGAGTCCTTAAGTGGGTTCCCTATCGGCAGGAGAAAATAACAGAGGCCAACCAGAGAATATTGAGAATCAAAGCAGCTCGTAAGCCTGATCTTTATTAAAGTGTTGCAACAGGGTCCTCACTCACCACACGCAGGAGGGAGGAGGAACCCAGAACAATGGTGCGCAAGCCCTTATATAGACTTTTGAAATTGCCCACCCCATAGCCCAAGACCACCCCCACAAAACATCATACATACATCACAGAAGGAGGTGGTCTACAGCAGAAATACATCACAGAAGGATGTATTTGCCAGGGTATCTGTTAATGGTCACTGATTGCTTTACCTGGGCAGCCGGCCATTCTTTTTGTGATGGTAAATACTTTAATTCCTGAATCCAGGTCACGGGCTCACCCTATCCATACACAAATACGCCCTTAAGACAGGTAAGCAAAAGACAATGGAGAGGCTTTCCCATTTCCTTCCTCCTTGCATAGAAGTACCGTATTTTTTGCTCTATAAGACTCACTTTTTCCCTCCTAAAAAGTAAGGGGAAATGTGTGTGCGTCTTATGGAGCGAATGCAGGCTGTGCAGCTATCCCAGAAGCCGGAACAGCAAGAAGGATTGCTGCTTTCACTGCACAGCGATCCCTCTTGCTGTTCTGGCTTCTGAGATTCAGAATATTTTTTTCCTTGCTTTCCTCCTCCAAAAACTAGGTGCGTCTTGTGGTCTGGTGCGTCTTATAGAGCGAAAAATACGGCATTTGAGGTCAATTTGGGAGAGTCAAAATGGCTTTAGGATTGCTCTCTTGTGCTATTTCAGACATGTGGTTTATATACTTATGTATGTGTTTGCCTTGTATATTTATGAATGTTTATTTTATATTTGGGACCTTAGAATTCTTACAACACGGGTTTCTACAGACACTCAATCCAGGCAAACAAGTGCTGTTATCAGCGTACAAGGGCACTTTCCAGTGAGGGAGAAATGCTTAAGGAGAATATGAAACAGGACTGGCAAGAGACATATTCTGGGTGGAGGGCATGTGACCGGGGAAGGCAATAATAAGGCTTAGGCTTAGGCAGGGAGAGCTGCATTTGGCGCATGGGAACTGACGTTCCCCATTTCATTTCACTTTTAATTTGTATACCGCCTTTCTATATTCCTGTACACAAGGCAGTTTGCAAGCTGAAGAAACAACATAGACAGCAAAGATTGCATATGTAATAACAATCTGTCATTACCTGGGAAGAAGGGATTGTTTGTTAAACCGCTCTGGGAATTATCGCTCCACATCACAATCTGTAGAACTAAATACCATCATTTATAGATTTGAATATGTTAAAAGCTGGCACACACGGAATTGTGTGCACCGCTTCTTTTTACAAATGCACTCCTTTCTCGTGCCACGATTGTGCTCTGTTCAGTACACGGCGTCCCTCCTTTCCCCTTCAATCGCAGGAAATGTGTTCGTTTATAAGATTATCGGCCCATTATTGCCGTTTCAGGAAAGCAGAGATTGGTTTCCCACTTTATCTGTTTACTCTGCGGCCGATAAAACCTTAAGACATTTTTCAGCTTTCAGTTTATAATCCCCGTTCCCCTTATTCCTAGACAATATGGTGTGTGGTTGGGGCCAATCGCCACCTCCTCCCCCAACCCCCACCTCCCAGAGATGTTTCTCTTGGCTGGGAAGCTGGTGAAAATGAAGTTGTTTGCACAGGATTTAGGCAACTGGAAAGAAGGAGGGGGGATTGAAAAATGGATGGGAAGGAAAATGCCCAGCTAGTAGGGTTTTTTTTTAAAAAAGTGTTTTGCCATGTGCACAGCTGCTTCCTGACTGTTTTCATTTTTATTGCGAGAAGTGCAATGCTTACAGGAAATTCCAGTTCGGAGACAATACCAGCTGCTTTTGGATTTGGGCTGCTGAAGAATATGGCACCTCCCGCCTCCCTGGATGATTTGCCCAGTCAGAATCTTTGCCACTCCCCAGTGGCTGCAGGAATACTGCAATCCATCACTCAATGAACATGCAAGTGCTTGTGGAATTCACTGCTGCAGGATACTGGGCACAGGCCATAGGGTTCCAGGCAGAGTTTTCTCCCAGCCCTACCAGGAAGTGCCAGGGATTGAGCTTGAGTCCTTCTGCATGCCAAGCAGATGAACTCTCACTAAGCTATGGTCCTTCCCAGTACTGAGCTAGATGTGCTAATAGTCTGTCCCAATATGAGGAAGCTTCATGTGTTTTCGTTTTGATCACCCATGACATAAATGGTTTATAAAAGTTTGTTGATGTTTAGTCGTTTAGTCGTGTCCCACTCTTCGTGACCCATGGACCAGAGCACGCCAGGCACTCCTGTCTTCTATAAAACTTTATAAAAGTGAAAAAAGGTTTGATCCGACAGTGTGGAAATAGGTAGGGGTTGTACAAAGAATTTGCGGTGGATGCTATTTGGGAGTGGACAGAATAGCCCTTGCAAATTAGATCTGATACTTGGTTTAAAACAAAACATTACTTTTAACCAAGCTTAAGGTTGTTTTAGAAAAGTGTCTTTGTTTTCTGCATCCTTTCTGATGCCATTTTAAATAGGTAAAATCAGTTGTTTTGTAAATTTCTTATAGAGAATTTTAATACCAAATTTACACTGTCCAACCATCTCGTCCTCTATTGTCCCCTTCTCCTTGTGCCCTCCATCTTTCCCAACATCAGGGTCTTTTCCAGGGAGTCTTCTCTTCCCATGAGGTGACCAAAGTATTGGAGCCTCAGCTTCAGGATCTGTCCTTCCAGTGAGCACTCAGGGCTGATTTCTTTCAGAATGGATAGGTTTGATCTTCTTGCAGTCCATGGGTCTCTCAAGAGTCTCCTCCAGCTAATATGCTAAAAAACATATTTTTTACCAACAACCAAACACGAACAGTGAAACCCCCCTAGTGGCTGATACATTGGGTATACATAATCAATAATAACATATTCAAATCAACCATATGTACAATTTAATATATGTTAACACTCCTCCATCCACAAGGTTTATTTACCGCATTTTTCGCTCTATAGGACGCACTTTTTCCCTCCTAAAAAGCAAGGGAAAATGTGTGTGCGTCCTATGGAGCGAATGCAGGAGGCAGGCAGGCGGGAAAAGCCCCCAAGAGCCGCACACAAGCTCCATGTGGCTCTTGCGGGCTTTTCCCCAGGAGGGAGAAGGGACTGACTGGCCGCATCAGTCCCTTCCCCCACCTCTAGAAAAGCCCACAGGAGCCACGCACCCTTTAAAGAGCGTGCCGCTCTTGGGGGCTTTTCCCCAAGGAGGGAGAAGGGACTGACTGGCCGAGTAAGTCCCTTCTCCCTCCTGTGGGCTTTTGCGGGAGATGGGGGAATTCCCCCACCTCCCACAAAAGCAGGGAGAAGGTCTGGGAGAAGCGCACAGGCTGCCTGCAGCCTGTCTGCAGCTCCCAGAGCTGGGGGGGGGGATCATATTTTTTCCCTTGATTTCCCCCTCTGAAAACTAGGTGCGCCCTATGGTCAGGTGTGTCCTATAGAGCGAGAAATACGGTAACTTTTAACATTTTAATTGCCCCAAATTGTTCAAAAAGTTTGCTGACCCCTGGTCTACACTGACTGGCAGCAGCTATTCAGGGTTTCAGGCAGGAGTTCTCTCCCAGCCCTACCTGGAGATACCAGGGCTTGAACTTGGGACCTTTTGCATGCAAAGCAGATTCTCTATCATTGAGCTATGATGACCCTTCTCTGCCCTGAGTATTGCTCATCCCAGGATGAATCCACCAAAGCTCCCTCAGCTCAGGAACTAAGGAGGCACCTCCCTAAGGAAGGCCATCCACTCTTTGGAAATCCAAAGCATATTCTCTCTCTCTCTCTCTCTCTCTCTCTCTCTCTCTCTCTATCTGCTACACTCACAATGGCCAGAATCAATCATCGCAGTGTGATCATTCGCTCAGTGGTGGCACTCTAACCAACAGTGTCATCCCCTTGATGCAGTTGCTAAGTAAATATTATCACCATCCCTTTCTGGAAAAGTATATTTAAGTGGTGCCAAAGTTCCTGGAAATTTTGAGAAACACAAGGGTTGAACCTTCTGCTTCTGTCCACGTCAGGCCATGAGTCCCACCTAGGGCAAAGATAAACAGGTTGATGCTCAGCTGAAATCACAGTGTGGATCCCTCCCTATGCTCCCTCTAATGCCATTTCCATGGGAAGCTTTAGGTTTGGAGGGGGTTTTTTTTGGGGGGGGGGGAGCTGAGAATGGGCTCCTGGAAGTGGGACCTTTCTGGTGGGCAACCAGAACCACATGGATACAAATTGCCATGGCCATGAAGTCATTTTACAATTAGAAGGCCACCCGCTCACCCAATGGAACTTCATCTCCCTCTCTTATAGCTGCACAAGCCCCCCCCAAAAAAAATCTGTTCAAGGGGTCTCCAAGCCATTTGAAGCAGATTTGGAAGTATGTAGTGATCTACAGAGTGAGGGAAGAGATGGAGGGGAGAGCCAGTGTGGTGTAGTGGTTAGGAGCAGTAGACTTGTAATCTGGGGAACCGGGTTCGCTTCCCCGCTCCTCCACATGCAGCTGCTGGGTGACCTTGGGCCAGTCATACTTCTTTGAAGTCTCTCAGCCCCTTTCAGGAAGGGAAAGGAGATTGTTAGCCGCTTTGAGATTCCTTTGGGTAGTGATAAAGTGGGATATCAAATCCAAACTCTTCTTCTTCTGTTGCATGAGCGGGTCATTCCCCTTCTGGGGTGCCAACTTGGGCCCCAGATCATGGGCGCCCAGTGGCGTCAACGTAACGTGACATAATGACGTCATGTTACGTCCCCCCCAGAAGTGGAGTCAGAGGCCCTGCGAGGCCTGGGACGCTGCTTCCAAGGTCTCCCAAGGCCTCAAACAGGACCTGGAAGTCATGTCCAAGGCCCCACTGAGCACCTACAACAAAATTTTGATGAGCATCTGGGGCCCCCAGGCCCCCCAGAGTTGGTGCCAGTGTTCCCTTGCACAATGTCTTAGTTGGATTCAACCTGTAGTCTCCGGTGGCACTGTGGTCTAAACCACTGAGTCTCTTGGGCTTGCTAATCAGAAGGTCAGTGGTTCGAATCCCTGCAATGGGGTGAGCTCCCGTTGCTCTGTCCCAGCTCCTGCCAACCTAGCAGTTCGAAAGCACACCAGTGCAAGTAGATAAATAGGTACCGCTGCAGCGGGAAGGTAAGCAGCATTTCCATGCACTCTGGTTTCCATCATGGTGTTCCATTGCACCAGAAGCAGTTTAGTCCTGCTGGGCACATGACCCGGAAAGCTGTCTGGCAGCCACCATTCCCCTCCCAGACGCACCAGGACACCCCTGAAGGCTCCTCCTAGGTAACCCCAAAACCCTCTTGCTGTTAGAACCTTATATTGTTGAACTCCAATTCCCATCTACCCCAGACATTCAGGCCCCCTTCCCACTGTGCATCTGGTGGTGGGCGGAAGTGTTAGGATTTGTTGCAGCTGCAATCGCATCCATTCCAAGCAAAATACGACGAGCCCAGCCACCAAATTGCAGGTCCCTTGGTCCTACTTGGATGTGCACCGACGCATCGGAACAGCTTCCTCTTCTTTTCTGGTTGATCTCAGAACCGAGAGGCAGGCAGCGTTTAAGAGAATGCCGGAGGCTGTTTCCCCCTCAAAACGGGTATAAATAATTAAAGCCGAGGGACGGGGTGGAAATTATATATGACACCGGTGTATACGAGACGCTTTTAATCTTTGGCATCCATTCTTTGCTCCGAGCATTGGCAGTCAGCCTCGCCGGGGTTGGGAGGGTGTGGGGGGAACTAGAAAGCCACAACTTGGTGTCAGCCATTTGGGCTTCTCATCAGAGAAGCCCAAGTGCCAAAGACAAGCATGGACAACCCTTTCTGCTGACTTGGCTCAAATCCCCGCAAAAGGGGATGAGGCAGCCAGGGAGAAAATTATATAGCTAGACCTTGAAGAACAAGCCGAGCGTGTACATACAAATTAGCATCTTCGCATGCCGTTGCCATTTGCAAATTAAGTTGTTGGGAGACGAGGGTTATTCACCAAAGGGAGACAGCATCAGGCGATGTCGTAGAACGCAGCTCTGCAGGGGCGCACCAAAGCGGCTCGGAGCCTCAGGCTACAAGGAGAAGGGAGTGTCGTAAATCTGTGTGCGCCGCAACAAAAAGGAGAAATATAAACAGCTTAATGAGTCTGAATTAAAGTTATTTCATGTTGGAAATAACTTTAGCTGAAAACGTAAATAAAACCGCACTTAATTTTAATCAAATTACAAAAACAAAGTGCTAAGTGCTTTTGTGTCATCACCTTGCCAGAGGTGGGATGGAAGGCAATAGGCATTTTAGGGGTGGGTGTTGGGAGAGTTGGGACAGAGAAAAGAAAGTTTAACGCAGCACAGTTAAACTGTGGAACTCACTGCCACAGGAGGCAACAATGGCCACCCATTTGGATGGCTTTAAAAGAGGACTGGATAAATTCGCAAAGGCTATCCGTGGTTACTAGCACTGTCCCATTTGCTCTAAGGGACCACAACCCAACATGGTTCAGGCTGCCCCTGAGGAATCAACCAGAAACTGAAGCAGAAATAGACGTAGAAGCATGGAAACGATTGTGGAATATGGATATAAAATTTACAGCATGTTATGGGACGCGGGTGGCGCTGTGGGTTAAACCACAGAGCCTAGGACTTGCCAATCAGAAGGTCGGCGGTTCGAATCCCCGCGACGGGGTGAGCTCCCATTGCTCAGTCCCTGCTCCTGCCCACCTAGCAGTTCAAAAGCACATCAAGTGCAAGTAGATAAATAGGTTCCGCTCCGGCAAAAAGGTAAACGGCGTTTCCGAGCGCTGCTCTGGTTCGCCAGAAGCGGCTTAGTCATGCTGACCACATGACCCGAAAGCTGTACACTAGCTCCCTCGGCCAGTAAAGCGAGATGAGCGCCCCAACCCCAGAGTCGGCCACGACTGGACCTAATGGTCAGGGGTCCCTTTACCTTTACCTTTACTTATGGTTCATGAGAAAATTATATGAAAATGATATATCGTTGGTATCTGACACCGTGTAACCTGGCAAAAATGTATAAATCTAAATCAAACAAGTGTCGGAAATGTAAAGAGAAAGAAGGTTATTTTTATCATATGTGGTGGTCTTGTAGTTTACTGGGAAATGATGTATAATGAATTGAAAAGGATGTTCAAAATAACTTCTGTAAAAAAACCCAGAAGCTTTTCTTCTGAGAATTATAGGGACAGAATTACCTAAATTTTATAGAAATTTATTTATGTATGCAACTACAGCAGCAAGAATACTACTTGCCCAAAAGTGGAAAGAAGCAGAAGTCCCAGCAAATGAAGAATGGATACAAAAACTTACGGAATATGCAGAAATGGCGAAACTTACCGGAAGAATAAGAAATCAAGATAAGAAACTTTTTATAAAAGAATGGAAATGGCTTATTGAATATTTACAGATAAATTGTAAACAGATAAAAACTTTGGCAGGATTATTGTAATAACCTGCAGTTTTAGAAGAGGATCTATATACAGTAGATATTGAAATGAACGAGTGAAATGAATTTGGATATGTAGAAGATATGAAAAAATAAATTTGAGGAACTGCAGAAAGAGGGAGAAGGAAGTCAAACTTTCAAATGTTAAATTGATTGTAAAACTAATGTAATGTATAAACTTTAAAAGTATAAATAAAAACATTTGAAAAGAAAAGAAAAGAAAAGAAAAGAAAAGAAAAGAAAAGAAAAGAAAAGAAATTGCCTCCCAAACTAAGACTGGGGCTTTGAAGTTCCACCTTCCATTCCCAGGAGCTGCCCTAGCTGGACCCCTGATTGGCTCTTGGGGATGAGTTCTGCCAGAGATGCAGCCGCACAGCAGCCAATCAAAGGGCTGGGTTGGCTTCCCGCATACCGTCCAGCTGAAAAATCAGGATGTGAGTCTTCTGGGATGCGCTCCCAGATGAGTCATGTGACCCATACCCCAATCTTGCCCAGGAAAAGCGCTGGGGGGCGGGCAGATTGTGGCACGAGACTATGAGAGATTGCAGCACTCGAAATGGCTGCTGTGATTTCACATGGAAATACGGGGTACCCCATTTTTCCCAGGACGCTTGGCGGGTTATGCTCCCACACAAAGTGGTCCCGCCATGCAATGGTAGCAAAATAAGGATAAGCAAGGGGTCTAGAGATTTACTGTTTGTTTAAAAAAGACTATAAGTTGAATATTCGGGAAAAAGGTCTGTTCTGAGTGCAACTGAGTTGGACACACAACTACCAAACCACAGCACCTGTCAGCACCAGGGCCCAGCCTTTGAATATGCAGAGTAGCAGCAAATGGAGTTTGTGTGAGCATGTGCAGAGCTCGTTTTCCTCACCACAGACTAACCGCAGTTCACCTACATAGTCTGGGATTCAGCTGCAGGGAGGTTTAGCCAGCCCCTAATTCAAACGCAGGTGGCGCTGTGGGTTAAATCACAGAGCCTAGGACTTGCCGATCAGAAGGTTGGCGGTTCGAATCCCCACGACGGGGTGAGCTCCCGTTGCTCAGTCCCTGCTCCTGCCAACCTAGCAGTTCGAAAGCATGTCAAAGTGCAAGTAGATAAATAGGTACCACTCCAGCGGGAAGGTAAACGGTGTTTCTGTGCGCTGCTCTGGTTCGCCAGAAGCGGCTTAGTCATTCTGGCCACATGACCCGGAAGCTGAAC